CCTTTCTATTGGTACCTCATTCGTCCATCACTCCTCAGAGCCGGGAAAGGGATATATATTTGAGAAATAATATATAAGATTATTCCTCGACTATCGCAGGTTCTTCCGAGAATATTTAATATATCAGCAACAATTGGAACTAACTAATTAATATTAAATATTTGTAGATGTTTATTGATAAAGTGATTCATTTAATGATTAACCACATCTATTTCCTTCACTTCTTCGAGGTGAATAGTTTTAGGCACCATCGAAATAGCCTGGATCTATACTCTGAAGGGCGAGTTAACTTTTTAATGGCATATTTCACATTGCTTTTTGGATATGATAATTTGTTTTATTTTGTTTATATATATCTATATTTTAACTTTTTGAATTCGTTTTATGAGTAGATACGACTTCTTTTTGTATTTAAATAATCACTATTCATATTGCTGTTTTATTTAAATTAATTTTTCTTTTTTTATATTGTTTTCCCAATGAGTTTAGTTTGCTTTGCCATACGAACAACACACATGAATATTTTATGTTAATTAATCAAGGAAAATATTATTGGTCATACAGATATTTTAAACTTTTAGTCCGTTGTACAGACCTCTGTTTATCAAATTATTAACATCCGGCTGAAACTTAGTGAATAGCTTCATCTTGTCGTAACCTACAACTATTTTATTTACGAAAATTCTCGGCATTGAGACGTTTTAAATTTGGAGGTCTGCAGACTTTGTCTATTTTATTAGGTACTAAAATCTCGTAAATACCCATCTGCTTTTCACTTTGATCGTAAGATAAATTGATCAAAAAATCGAGAAAAAAGGTGGCCCACTGAAATATTTGGCCGTTTGGCCTATAACACCATGTTATTTTGACAATTTGGAGTGTAGATCACGTCAAACGGCTCAATTTTTTTTTTTTTTTTAGGCCACCTTTTTTCTCGACTTTGTGCTCAAGTTATCTTACGCTTCAAGTTGAAAACAAATGGCTATTTACGAGTTTTTACTATGGGTACTAAAGTTTGCCGACCTCCAAATTGAAAACGCACCAATTTCGAGAATTTTTCGTAAATAAAATATGCGTTAGTTACCATGAGGTGAAGCTATTTACGAAGTTTCAACGGGATGTTAATAATTTTATAAAAAGGGATCTGTACCACGGACTATTTATTCTTCTCTATGGAAAATTTATGTATTGAGTACTATAAATAGTTATTCCTTATACATTATATTTACGTTCTAATAAAATATCTTTCTTAATATTTCAGTTTTTAATTTCACTCCCCCATATTTGAGCAATAATCAATGTGAAATGGTTAAAAACGTTAGGTTTATGTAACTCATTGTAATTTTTTTTATTTCACAAAATTATGCTATAGAAAATAATTGGTAAAAATTTATTTAAATTAAAATTCAGTAAAATCCATAACTCTAAAGGTTTATAAAGATTTTCGAATACTTTTTTTTGATGGGTATTTTCTCCAAACGTAGTTGCAAAAGCGGTAAACTTCATTCAAAAGGTCCTTTTCTTACTCCCATTTACTTCTTGTTAGTCTTCCATTATGTCCATGTGTATTTAAGTAAGTATATATTTGTATTTATTTTGTCTTGAATTTTCAGTTTTGATAAACAAAAAAGGAGGACATTAATTTCAATCGTTGGTTTAAAATCATTCTTTTCAGTTTGACGTGTGGGTCACAGGTCGCTCTTCTGTCAATTATAAGTTCAAGGTAACGTTGGGTTAATTTGGCTGAGGCCGATAAAAACTGGCTGACACGTGTCTTGTAGATGTGATAATGTTCACACTTCTACAAGACATGTGTCAGCCAATATTGTGATATGTCGTGATATAATTTCATTTGCCAGAGGTCGTGGTGTATTTTTGTATCCTCTGCGTAGATTGCTGCCAATGTATTGGAAGGGTAGGTTTGTCAATCTACTTAATGGTGGAATAATTAAATTGAAATGTTTTAAATGACTTATGTTAGCAATAAATAATTTCTTTTTTTTTTTTAGTTATTTTTTGCATTTTGCAAAAATTAAACAACTCATTTTTCTTTGATAACAATAAAAACAGCTAGGCATTGTTAACAATGCGATCACCTCCTTTTTCCATAAATAATTAATATGTTAATTATAACACTGGCTGGCGCGTGTCTTGTAGAAGTTTGAACAATATCACATCCACAAGACACGTGTAAGGCTGTATTTATCGGCGCCAAATTAACCCAACGTTACATTTGACAGAAGTATGGCTTGTGACCCACACGCCAAACTGAAAAGAATAACTTTAAACAAACGATTAAAATTAATGTCCTCCCCATCAACAAATAAAATGTTACAAACATAATCCGTTGAACGCGCACACTATAAAATAATTTTTGTCAGTTTTTAGATTCACACCAATTTCTCTTAGAATTGATAAAACTGAAAAATATTTTAATGATTATTTAATCTTTGTAATTTTTTTTATTTAAAAAAAATCGTAAATTTTAAAACTCAGAAATTCTCTGAGAAAACAGCAGTATCTTGAAGAGAACCTTATATTAATAGAACTTTGTTATATGAAAACTTCCAAAACGTCCTTAGCCTATCTTTACCCTTTTCATCTGTATTACATAAATGTACAAAAAAGCCATATAGTTGTTGCCTTCCAACCAAAAAATCGACAGTGTAAGGTTTCGTAGCGTAATTCACTCACACGGACGGTCGATTGCGTATTGCTTCACATAGATTATTCAATACCTTCGGCTTTCTTTATAGAGGTATATGACTTAATGTTGAAGTCATATACATTTCGTACAGCCGTCAAAAAGTAATTCAATATTCCCTATATCGCAGAAGCAGTTGCTTATTCATATCAGGCGATCCTTAATATAGAAAAACTTTTAAAATTTCGTTTTTATTTACTATCACCAGTGGCGTTAATACGTTTCGTTGTTGAGGCAGGCAGTTCACACATACACCCACGCAGAACATTTTGCGTTAATAGGTTATTTTACACAGAGGACCACAATATGTTATTTATGCTGAAACTCGGATTTGAAATTTTTCATAAATAAGCTAATCTAATACAAGGATAATAAAACTATTGAACGTTTAAAATCATTATAAATTACTTTAAAAAATTTGCACAATCGCAATGCTCTCTCTCACTATATAGTTCATAAATAAAATAAAATAAGCAGTAAGTGAAAGGAAAAATTCAAACGAAATTGGTTCTTATTATTTTCATGACCAATAAAAGTATAGGTATAGGTAATAATAGGTCTAGTTAAAATTATTTCATTATTTCAGACTCGAATAGTTAACAACTAATTACATAGTATGCCAGGTCATTTATTAAATAATGTAGGAGTAAAATGCACAATATCGACAAATTCACTGCTAAAATAATTAAGTATTTTTTTTTTTTTTTTGGCCCAGGACTCCCACTGAAGTCCTATACTGCCAATATTATTCTATTAATGTATAATGGAGATATAGATGTACATTATCATTATTTATTTATTTTAAAAATCTATTTTGGATTCTTCAATAAATTTGCACAATGGTATCTCAATCTAGATCAGCCAGCCCCAATTAAGTAGTCTTTTTTCTTCTTCTTTTGTCCAAGAACGTGAAATAATACAATACTTTTGAATTTCAAATTTCAAATAATTATTTCTTGATTCGTAATTATATTTCACTCAGGTTAGCCAACTGTTGATTTGATAGAATTGCATTGACTCGTATATTCAACCACTAACGGATCCAGGAATTAATTTTGGATGAGGGCCTTCAGGCCGGAAGCTTTCTATTTAATATATATATATATATATATTATGATAGTTACTTTGGAAGAAAGTAATAAACTAAACTAAGAAACTAACTACGTATATGAAATGGTGTTTAATTGATTCTTGGGATCCAATTAAATATGATCTGGATGAACAATAATACTTTTTTTCATAAAAACATGGTTATATTTTACCATTTTGATGGCGGAGGAGGAGGCTTCAGCCCTAAAGTTCCTCCCCTCCCCGTAGATCCGCCTGTGTATTCTACGAAACATGCTTTGGTTAGACAGCTGTGACAAATCATTACGTCTAGCATTGAACGGAATTTGAAGGTTGAGATCACCGATATTGAAAAGGTGTGGGAAGGGACGCCTAAGTGATACAGCTACCGATATTATCATTTAACAATATATTAATTTTACCAGATTAGTTTGGTCTACTGCACTGGGTTCATATGATCAAGTCAGTTTCGATGTCATATGTCTCTTTTGTGATCTGAATTTGCTTAACGCTCCGATATCTTCAGAACAGAATTCCTCTTCTGAGTGATTCAATCCTGAAAATCAGCAAGAAAAATCATCGATACCATCCCAAATTATTGGATCAGAAACTGAGGTTACTATGTTCTTATGATGCAACTATTTTTAACGACCTTGAGGCTAAACGAAGTTGGTACACTACACCTCTTAATTCCATTGGATGGTGACGAATTAGAGATCCATCATGAAGTACTATTACAGAAGAAAAATTGAAGAAAAATGTAAATCTACAGAAATAAACTTTTAATCCATTGAATTATAGAATTGAACTGACCACTTGTATATTGTAATAATACGAAAGCTGAGACAAGAAATGGTAGATAACGTGAGTACCCGGAAGAGGGTTTCATTTAAATTTTTGAGGGAGCGCATTTCGACGAGTTGAATTTTCGAAATGAAAAGATTTAACCAAGAGACAAGGGTAAAAACATGGACGAGATCACAGCAAGTGTAATTGTATATGATCTACATTTTTCTAATTCTTCTTTCACCTGCATAGTTTTTAAGAACAGGATATCAATAAAGTTTTGTGACAAGGGGGGGGAGAGAAGATTTATGCGCCATCGACCTGTGGGGGGGGGGGCGAGGGACGGGTACCTCTGGTAGATAAATATTGACTCGCGGGTGTAAGAATCCCAAACTAAGGAACATGAGGCATAAAAATGGTGTATTGAGATCATGTTATTTACCGAATTCATGTGGAAAGGAAGAAGTGATGGCTAAGATTAATGAAGACTGCTTATGATGGCCAAGAAGTAGACAATGCCTCACTCACGACAGCGCTTCGAAACATGCTTCCTCCATTTCTCTTTAATTTTGGCCTTTATCTTCACTGCAACATTTCTAGTTTCAATGCAGTCCTTAGGCGTCTGCCGCTCTTCGCTATTTCGTATTTTTTTTATAACTCCAACATCTGAGAATAAAATACATACGATGATAAAGACTGGCAGATAAAATGAGCAAAAGATATGGTAGTATTATGTATCAACAAAAAAAAACAAATATTCTTAGTCCTCGCGGGGTTTTGTTTGGTCACCCTAAAAATAATTAATTACTCGTATAATATACTCGCCCATAAAAAATTACGACACGCATGCTATACACTTAAAATACAACCATTCAATGATACATACGAACAAGGAATGCTTTCTGACAAACTTTTATTTTGGTGAAAAGGTTATTTTAGTGTGACAAATATTAAGTTGTTTTTTCTTGTTCTTCGAGAGAGTTATAAACAAGATTTGAATGTAATTAAGTTTGATCAGATCATTTTATGTTTACACATCATTTCAAAAGTAAAAGAATTACGATATGCAGAGAAGAAGAATATTTTGGATAACCATTTTAATACTTGACGATCACACACTATTCATAAAAATTCTCAGAATGCTTATAAAAGGTTAAGGACCGTCTTAGGGATTGCGTCTGTGGCACGATTAGGATTTCTCCACCACGAATGTATCAATATAACTTGCCTTCAATGATGTTTAAATGACGAAAAAGATAAAGTAAAAAGTGTTAACGTAACCTGATACTTATTTCAAAGCTTACGAATAAACAGAGACATACTAATTAAATATACGACCTTCAGAATAATTTCACGTTTCATCTGTAAGGTCATTCTGTCTTCATTAGTCGTTCATCATTAGTATTAAATATGATTATTAGGAGTTTGCAGAATGTGATTATTAAAAGATCAGGAGTTACCTACCACAAATCCACTTCATCAGCTAAAGGCACAAGATCGTTTTACATTCTGAGGCTTTATTGGAAGTCTTATAGTTTACGATGAGGTTCTAAAGTCTGCTTTTATTAACGATAAGAGAATAAGGAAGTACTGGAAGATATTGGTTGGGTCGTGAATCATTAATTACTTCTTAGAGATTTGTTTTACAACCTATAGATCTTATTGCAGCACTAACCAATGCTCTACCATTGTGCTAATAACACTGCAAACGACTGTCTGCACAATATTAACTTGAACCATAAAGACTTTATTAGCAGTTAGATCTTTATAGTACTGTAAATTTCTGAGATTTGATTCCTGGTCTCTCATCCAACACTATTTTTTTTTTCATGACTAGTTCGTTACTGACTAATTTCATTTGTCAATCAGTTGAATTATGTATACAAATTAAAAATTAGATAGATAATATTGAAAAGTAAACTATCTGAGAAAGGAGAGCAGGTATAAATTATGAAGATCTTTTTATCCGTATTCATTTCAGCCTTCCATTTTGATTAGTTTTATCTTCGTTTTCTCTTGAAGTATGTATTTATTTTAATTACAGATTCAATTATTTTGTACAGATATTTCTTTATGGAATTTGTTTCCCAAGTGTTTTTTTTTTTTTCATTAAAAGGAAAAAGAGCTAATAAATATTTGTTTTGTACTGTTATTATTATTTTTGATGATGGCCCATTTTAACTCGACCATTCAAAATATGTAAGGTTGAATGTTACAACGCAGAAACACACACAAAAAAAAGTACCCTTTCCATATGTGGATTTTCTCCGAACTTACTGGATTTTTTTTAGCTGAAAGTTACAGGGAACACCAAATGTTTTGGTTCAAGTGTCAAATTACTTGTTTTTAAATTATTCATAAAAAAGCGTTTATTGGAAAATATTATTTTAACTTTTGTTTTAACTAATTAACTTTTTTTCCAGCTTCTTTTCGGTGAATTATGCTAAATAGATAAATCTAAAAGACTTCGAAAGAGGAGGCTTTAGCCAAGTTCCATTGAAATCGGTACATTCGTTGAGGCGCTACAATACCGTACAGCTTCTTCGGCCGCTATCTTAATAGGAAAGTGCTTTCCGGTGGAGTATGTTATATACATAAATTTAAAGGTCTTCGAGGAGAAGACTTTGGCCAAGTTTCATAAAAATCGGTTAATTAGGTTACAGTATATAGCGACACAGGTTTTTACGCCGCCATCTTGAAAGGAAAGGGAGGATGGTAATGCCGAGGTCATCCTCGTGTACCCTTTGACATTGATACGAATCTCGAAAAATCGGTCAAATGTAGAGAAAAGTCGCGGACGGTGTAAGGAGAACGGCGGATGGACAGATTTTTTTATTCGATTTTTGGGATTCAACATACCATGAAACGTAAAACCTCAAATTTAGAGGTGGCTTAACATTATTTTCTTTCTTGATTAGTTACAAAGATTGATTATTGAAAATAGTAAACCAAAATAAGTAATAATAATAATAATGACAGCTCTTAATTTTTTTTTTTATCCAATATCTCTTATAAGTAAAAGATTTGTTACCCCCCACCCAAGGTCGATAGCGTAAGAATCTATCCCTTCCCTCCTTTCTCAAGATATTTTCTTCCTCACCTTTTCTTAAAAACAAAGATAAGGAAAGTACAGTTAGAAAAATCGTAGATCATATTCAATTACACTGCACTCTGTTTCATGTATTCTTCATTTCCCTTATTCTGAAACATTTATTGAAACCCCGTTAAAATGTGCCCTCTAAAAAAAATCAAAAATCCGTCATAATATGCTTCCCCTCAAAAATTTTTATGTAACAACTTGCGCAATAAAACACCCTTCTAGACACCACCGACAACATTCGATTGGAATTAAGAATGTACTGCTACAAAATATCATTGGTTAAAAAAATTTGTTTACCAATCTACTACAAAGTGCTCCTACAAAGGAGAACGTATTTTTCAAGATATTTTAGGAAGTGATAGTTTCACCATTGTTACATGGAGGAATTAATAAGAGGAGGTGAAAATACGAAAATAATGGGTCTTACTCATCGGTAGATATTTATAGAGAAAACTCCAAGTAGGTAAACATTTGAAAATACTCCATTTGTCGAATATTCCCTTTTTACATATGTTATAAATGTAAAATTTATACTTGTTCTTTTTTCAGTGCACAGGGGAAAATTAAAACCAAGAGAAAAGAAAGTTAACGATCCTTGAATATAAACCCGGGTCTCAGAAGGTACTCCTGGAGCTTGGTCAAGTTTCTGGTTAGCTGCCTCATTAAAATTAAATTTGTTTTTGCACTATAATTACAGTAACATTTTTTACTCGTATAAACAATAAATATTTAAACCGTTTTGGTTATTTAATTTATACATTTTTCATCACTTCACAGATGAAAAAGTCTTGAAAACTTCATAAATGATACTTGCGAAAATTGTATATATTTGAAATATTTTTTTATAATACTGATAGAGCCATATGATCAGAAATAAGGTTGCCATTGGGAAACGAGGCCTCTACGGTGTGCTTAAAAGTGTGAGGCCTGTTCTATCGACCGATCTCGAAAATCTTGGCACGTAATATTCGGCGTAATCACACTCACTGGGTCAATATGTTTCTCTAATATTAGAAACTTGCGAGGGATAACGCATTTTTTCCAATTCCATTCTGAATTCGAAAGATTCGGCGTTTTTTCTCCTATATGTTTTATGAATAACTAATATCTCGCTATTTCGATAATGGTCCAATATTTGTTTGTTATCACCACAAGTCCTTTGGCGACCGATAGCTAGAGTTCCCTACTTAATATTTCTTTCATTTTAAGAGCGGATACAGTAATTAAAGCAAATACGATATATCTATATCATTTATAAAATTTAAAACAATAAAATTATGATATTCTCGAAAAAAGGTGTCTTATAAGTAGCAGAAATTAATCAATCGTATCAGCAATTAATCTGCACTTTATTCGCTTATGAATGCATCATCGGGACAGAAAAGATACAGCGCGTCTTACTTCGACATCTAAAAAAAGGAAGACAAATAACCCAATAGAGATTAAAGCTAGTAAATTAGTTTAAGACAGTAAGACTGCAGTAAGTAAGCAAGACTAGCAAGAGTAAGTTTAACATATAATGTCATAGTATAGGACATATATATATACATATATATATATGCAAATATAATAACAATGATGTAATATGTAAATATTGGACGTGACTCAAAATAAATAAGTAACCTTAATTTCAAAGGTCAGTTCAAAAATCTTCACGCCTACAGTATGACTTCCTCATTTAACGTTACTAAATAGAGTTTCTCCTTATTAAATCTAGCTTCCTACATATATATATATTTCAACAACAATTATATAGATTTAATTACCGATAAGTTAGTAATGGGTATGGAATAATTTATCCCCAGAGAGCAATGCAATAGAAGATCCTTATCTGTTAATATTACAGACCTTTATTAATGCAAAATAAAAAAAATTAATATTATTGGCAGTCTTACGGTAGATGTTTAAAATGTATTTACCGTTTATTTTTTTCATTATATATTAAAGAAATACTGGGTACTAAGTACTAGAATGCTTATGAGCCAAAAAAGCTAACAGCAGACAGAAATAGTTTGCCAGTATATAGTAGGGCAACTAAAACACCTAAGCAGAGACGTAAACTCCGAAATAACGAAAGAATTTTATTTAAATTTCAAAAGCGAAAAATAAAAACTACAAGTGAATTTTGACTAAGCAATAAATGATTAAATTAACAGCATACTTGATATATTTTGGTAAATACTTCGACAGACACTTAAAATTGACTAGAAATTTTGTCAAAAAAATTAAAGAACTAAAATCAGAAACGTATAGACTCTATCTCTTAATTAGGAGAATCAGCCTATACGTATGATCGAAGCACCATAATTCTAATAAACTCCATCCACACAACCACAATTCGTCCGGCTCTATTGTATAGTGCACATAAATATACAACCAGCTCTAAATTTACCAATAATGAAATTTTACAGATTTTAT